CCAGCTCAGCCCACCAGGGGGCGGGCTGGCTGGCATGTGGGGCTGGGGGATTGAACCGCGGTCCCTGTGCTTTGCTAAGCTTGTTCTAAGTAGGTGCTTTAGACCACTGAGCCATCTCACCAGCCCCTACATATAATTTTCCAGTTTTTTTTATTTTATTTTTTTTTATTTTCTGGTGGGAACCGGGGATTGAACTCAGGTCCTTGGGCTTGCCAGGCACACGCTTATTCAACTGAGCTATCTCCCTGGCCCCCTGTTGTTGTTATTTTTGAGACAAGGTCTCAGTACAGTTCAGGCTGGCCTGGAACTTACTATGTAATCTAGGCTGGCCTCAAGGTCATGGTGATCCTCCTGCCCCAGCCTCCCCAGTGTTGAGGTTACAGGCAGGTGCCACCACCCCGGCTCCTGCTCAGTCTGGTATTTCCTCATGTCTGTCACTTTTGGCCTCTTTCAGCAGCCCATGCATCCACAGGACTCTTAAATTCTCTGAGGCTAGGACCCCACCCTCAACGCTTCTTGAGGCCCTCCCAGCGTGTCCATCTGGGCCTGGGCAGATGAACTCATCAAACATTGGCCTACTGGTCCGGGTGTCTCCTCGCGCTCAGAACTAGCCCCAGAACTCCTGAGCCTGCCTTTTCGTCAGAGCGCACCTCCCTGCACACTCTGCTCCCTGGGGGAGGCCATGGAAACCCAGAAGCTGCGCTTGCTGTCCCAGCCCTGCCCCCCGGAACAGCTGCCAGGCAGGCGCTGACCCAGTCCTTACTCCTGGTCGTTACTCGACACTCAGCAAATACGAAGCAGAGCGCTTAATTAGAGCAAGGACTTGGTGCCAAGACCGTCTGGGTGTGGATCCCAGTCCGGTCATCATGGGTAACTTAACCCCGCCATGGCCAAGTTGTCCATCCATAAGATAATACCCCTCCCTCATGGAGTTGTGTGGGGTGTTTGACTAAATAATGCTGGCTAGATGCGCCTCACAGTAGCCAGCTCTGAATGTGTACTTAGCTGAAGTATTAGCTACTGTTTAACCTTTAATTTATTTATTTATTTATTTATTTATTTATTTATTTATTGAGACAAGGTCTCTGTGGAGCCCAGTTGGCCTTAAACTCAGTGGTTCCCCTGCCTCAGCCTTCCCAGTGCTGGGATATGCTGCCATGCCGGCTTCCTTCATGTTTTAACTCTTTGCTAGAATTTAAACTCTTCAAGAGCAGAGATTTTTAGCTTTCGCCGTCTAATCTTATAGTCTAGTGCTTAAACTTCGTAGGCACTCGGTAAATGCTTGTTAATTTACTGATGTCGAGTTCCTCCTGTGTGCCAGTCACTGGTGTAAGTGCTGGGGACAGCCGAGATTTAGGACCTAGTGAGATACTCATTCATTTTGGAGACGGTCTCACTCTGTTGTCCAGGCTGCCCTTGAATTTATGTCAGTGCTCCTGCCTCAGCTGCCTGAGTTCTGGGATTATAGGGTTGTGCCCCCACATCCGGCTTTTCTATTAATTGTGTGGTGCTGGGGATTGAACCCAGGGCCTGTGCATGCTAAGCCTGGCCTTTGCACTGAGCTATAGCCTACCCCTGAAGTCTATCTCCCGGAGGGAGAGATAGAAAACAAAGAGGGAAGAGGGGATGAGCAAGGCAAATGACGGCGAGTGGCTAGGGGAGGCCAGGGTCAGGCTGCAGCTAGTTCTAGGGGTGACTTCTGGCCAGATACCCTGTGAGACCCCAACATGCCAGCCCTGGGGGTAGAGGCTGTTGAGAGCAGTGGGCCCAGGGAGGCTGAGGGTTGTAAGCAAGTAGTCAGCAGGGACCCAGTCTGCAGCATGGTAAGAAGTTTGAATTTCACTCTTCCACTGTGACCTGTGAAACTGAGTGTGGTGGTGCACACAGGTAAGGCTAGCTCTCAGGAGGCTGAGGCAGGCGAACCATGTGGTTGGGTTTTTTTTTGTTGTTGTTGTGTTTTTTTTTGCAGAACCGGGGATTGAATTGAGGCCCTTGTGCTTGCCAGGGAAGCGTTTATTCTACTGAGCCATCTCGCTGGCCCCTAACCACGTGTTTTAACCCTAGTGGGACAACTGAATGATTTAGTGAGACCTCATCTCAAAATAAAAAAGGCCTGGAGATGTTGTTCAGTGTGAAGTCCTGGGATCAGTCCCCAGTAGTACACATGCATGCATGCGGGCGTGGGTACACACACACACACACACACACACACACTCACACACACACGTGCACAAATCCTGTCCAGCAGGAAGCCACTGTGTGGAGGCTTTTCCTGGGGCTCTCCGGGAGTACTTGAATCACTCCTAGTTTGAGAAAGGGCAGGAGACCAGGAAGAACAGTTGCACTGGGATGTCCTTACCCTGGGATCACTTTTGGGGGCTGTCAGGCCAGCAGTGTCAAGCTTGCTCCCACTGGGCTTTTGTTTCTCTGGCTGGACCAC